ATTCTTTTGTATATTGTTTTAATATCGTGTGGTTTGTACATTTTCAGAGAGAAATAGACCTAGATGAATTACAGCATATGTGGGACTCTTCATCACGTGCATGTCACGTAATATGTAAATATAACAAAAATCATGAGCAGATATGAACCTCGAATATGTTTCTCAACAAACTATGTAACATTTCGTCATTAACATGACAGACAACATTAATAGCAGAAACATAACGACAACACAAGTGTCTTTCTGTTCACCATAATTTTTACAGTAGGATGAACCAAAGAAAGCTCACAAATATTAACAAATTTCTTATTTATCCTAATCCATTTCCAGTCTTCATCTAGACGACTAGACCTAGCGTAGCCACCAGGTACGGCGGTCGTCCCTTGATCTGGTGGCGCAGAAGTTGATTAGTATCACCTCTTCGAGTAGATGGTGTTCCGCTACCAGTTGTGGCGGCTTTAGGTTATACCGGCAGAGTGAACACGTTCTGTGACCATATCCTAACCACCTTTCTAAGCAAACTCTGTGATAAAGATGGTTGCAACTCAGCTCTATAACCTCATCCCAATCATCAATTCTGCATAAGCAAACAGCACACTCTACTGATGAATCCCCACACTCTTCATGATTATAGTTTTCATAACTGGGTATAGTTAGGTCATCAATATACTCTGGTGTTTCAAATATTCCACGAGGCTGAAAGAAGAAATGAACGATAAGGCAATCCCATGCCCATTTCACCTGGCATGCAATCAGAACTATGTATTTCAATACAACCAATCCTGGATGATGCAATACTTGAATCATTATGTATAAAAATACAGAGGGATGGAGAGAGAGAGAGAGAGTTTCTTGGAATACAATAATAGATGCTGAACTGTTTAGATAGGGATATATATAGCCATTTGAGAGAGGATGGGCAAGAGTATAAGGTGGATTGTAGCTCGAACTATAACTTTTAGACGAAGCCACGATAATATCTACATCAAAATGACATTTAATTGTAGACTTGAGCCAGGAATAAAATTTCCAAGAAAACATGCGAAGAGGGACAGTGTCAATAAAAAATAGAAGAATTATCTGGAAAAGAAAAGGGAAAAGGAAAGAGAGAATGAAAAGGACCCATTCAAAACTTCTAAAAAAGGGTCTCGCTATCATGATTTAACAACTAATAATTCAAAAATGTAAACTGTCTATCTGATTTTAACTCAGTTTTTGTCCATAGTGATAGTTGGAACAATAATGGGAGAGCAATGATATTTCTAATTACATTAATTATTTCATTCTGAGTCTTGTAATTGTAAAACCAATTAATGCCGTTAATATTATTAATAAATTAATTAAAGTGGTTTATTATTGTTAAAATTTTATTGGTCAATTGAGAAGTAGCCCTTTTTTTTTTAGTTATCCATTTTGATGGAAAGTGAATAATTTTCTTTTCATGACTCTTGGACTACATGACCCTTGGACTGCCTCTCTCTACCTATAAATGTGAATGAAGCCCATCAATTATTCAATTCAACAGCAATGAGGAAAAGAGAGAGAGAAGTTTCTAGATTTTATTAGTTCTTATTTTGCAGGTTTAAATCTTTCAACTATTACTATGGATCAATGTATGTTTCTTGATCAATGAATCTATATGTGAAAGTCATGAATCCTAAAGATCTCGGTATTAAGGTTATATGTAATTGCTTACATCAATTTTTTTCCATTAAAGATCTCGGTGGTATCAGAGCCAGGTTAGGGAATTTTTGATTTTCCATTAAAGATTTTTTTTTTTTTCGCTTATTGATTTATGGATCAAGATCTAGAAGATAATTTAAAGGCAATTCTTGATTTCATTTTTAGCTGTTACATCAATTCTCGTTAACCCTGTTACATCAATTCTCGTTAACGCCCTGCATCAATTAGTGCTTCTCATGTTTTTGGAATGCTGTAGTGTATATATACACTTCTGCCATATATGTTGAATTATTATTGGTTTGAGAGAAGATCAATCCCTTGCTTTTAATATTTCTAATGACGGTTGGTTGACATATACAAACAAATTAATTGGAGGAAAGATATTAGTGGTACTCATTTGCCTAAGGATTTTGGATTTTTATAATGGGTTTATTTGTTTATAATTGAATATTTGAGAATGATAGATTTTTTTTTATGCATCACTGATTATGGAATTGTGCGTTATTTATTAATCGTCAATCTGTAAATAAACATTAAGTGATAAATGTTTTGTTTATATAATTAATGTTCGATTAATGTTGTTTGTTAGTCACCAAAGTGGCCAAACATTATGATACTGCTAACGCTAAATTACATAATTTATTGGTCAATTATTCTTGATGGTTTGATGCTTATAAATAGAGATGACATTATTATTGTTGTCAGGAGTTTATTGACGTTCATAGATTTTAAAATTGTTATGGATCGCCCAAAGGCTGATCGATTAATTTTATTAATCTTAAACATAATCGTGATCAATTAATATATTTAGTTGGATGTGTTTTGTATATCCAAAGATAACAGACATGTCTAATTAAGATATATTTAATTACCAATTACGTGAAATTAACTAGCATCATTATATTTATTATGATAGTATAACGTAGTATCACCCAAATGAGAACTATGGTTTACATTTAATGTTATCTGAATCTGAATTTAAGAGTTTAAGTCAAAACTCAAAGCAATAATGTTAGATCATTTTATATTTTGCAGTATCTGTTCCCGTTTCTTTGCATTCGCATGCTTCATTTGTACCACTGTTCAATGGGCTCAATTTTTCTGACTGGTGTGAACACGTCCAGTTCAACTTAGGGGTTATGGACCTAGAATATTAAGTACACTATCCCTAAAACTAAGATTACTAAGGAATATATGAAATTTTTGAAAGAACGTTCTCAAACAGCTGACAAATCACTCGCTGACACATTGATTGGTACCCTAACCACCATGAAATTTGATGGTTTACGTACCATGCATGAGCATGTTACTGAAATGAGTAATATTGCAACAAGACTTAAGACTCTTGGGATAACTGTGGATGAAAATTTTCTAGTACAGTTTATCATCAACTCATTGCCTACTAACTATGGTTCATTCCATATGAACTATAATACCTTAAAGGACAAATGGAATGCGAATGAATTGTATAGTATGCTAGTGCAAGAGGAGACAAGGCTTAAGAATCAAGGAACTCATTATGTTCATCTCGTAAGTCATCAAGGAGTTGGAAAGAAATATAAGAAAAGGTCTGGAAATGGCATTAAGCAAGGACCGCTAAAGATAAATGAGTCTTCTGTCCAAATTCACAATAAGGAATGAAAAAAAGATATGTGCCATTTCTGTCGTAAACTTGGGCACCATAAAAAGGACTGCCTGAAACGTAAAACATAGTTCGAAAGTAAAGGTAAGATTATTTCTTATGTATGTTTCGAATCTGAATTCGCAGAAGTTCCTTATAATACTTAGTGGATTGATTCCGGATGTACCACTACGTTACCAATACGATGCAGGGATTGCTTACAATCCGAACTATAAATCTAAATGAAAAGTTTGTTCTCATGGGCAATCGAGTCAAAGCTCATGTTGAAGCTATAGGAACCTACCGTTTGATTTTAGATACAGGACATCATTTAGATTTATTTCAAACTCTTTATGTACCTTCTATTTCCCGCAATTTAGTTTCCTTATCAAAACTTGATTCTTATGGGTATTTCCTTAATGGTGGAAATGGATGTTTGAGTTTGTTTAAAGAAAATCATCTTATTGGTTCTGCTACTCTTTGTGATGGCTTATATAAATTAAAGCTTGATAACCTCTTTACCGAGACACTTTTAATATTACATCATAATGTTGGTACTAAACGTGATTTATTGAATGAACAATCTACTAACTTGTGACATAAACGTTTGGGTCACATATCCAAGGAAATGATAGAATGAATAGTAAAGAATTAAATCCTTCCTGACTTGGATTTTAGTAATCTCGAAACCTGTTTGGATTGCATGAAGAGCAAACAAACCAAACATACAAAGAAAGGAGCCACAAGAAGCACCCAACTTCTTGAAATAATACACACCGATATATGTGGGCTTTTTGATGTTCCATCATTTGGTGGAGAAAAGAATTTTATCACTTTTTTAATGACTATTAACGTAATGGTTATGTCTATCTAGTTCACGAAAAATCTCAAGCTGTAAATGTTTTAGAGAAGTAAATATTATGGAAGATATGATGACACTGGACAACACCCTGGTCCATTTGCTAAATTTCTTGAAAGACGCAGCATATGTTCTCAATATAGTATGCCGGCACACCACAACAAAATGGTGTAGCTAAAAGGCATAATCGTACTATAATAGAAATAGCTAGGTGTATGTTAAACAATTCTTCTTTACCCATTTCTCTGTGGATGTTTACATTAAAGACTGCTATATATTTGCAAAACAGGGTTCATAGTAAGGCAGTTCCAAATACTCCTTTTGAACTGTGGATGGGAAGGAAACCCATTTAAGGCACCTACATGTTTGGGGTTACCCGACAGAAGCAAGAATTTATAATCCACATGAAAAAAAAAAACTGGACTCAAGAACAATTAGTTGTTTTTTCATTGGTTATCCAGAAAAATTAAAAGGGTATAGATTTTATTGTCCAAACCATAGTACTAGAATTGTTGCAACTGAAAATGCTAGGTTCATTGAGAATTGCAAAGTTAGTGGGAGTTTGGAATCGATGAAAATGCTAGGTTCATTGAGAATTGCAAAGTTAGTGGGAGTTTGGAATCACGAAATGTGGAAATACAAGAAGTTGGAGTTTAAGTTTCTCTACCATCAACTTCTTCTAATGTTGTTGTTCCTCGAATTGTTGAACGATACAATAATTTGCTAGAACAACAAATAAATGATCAAACATCTCATAATGAAGTTGCTACTAATGAACCTGCACTAAATAAACCACAAGAAATAGAATTAAGAAGGTCACAAAGACAACGTAGATCTGCTATTTATGATGATTATGTGGTTTACCTGCAAGAGTCTGATTTTGACTTAGGAATTGTTGATGACGATCCAATTTCATTTTCACAGGCCATTGAAAGTGCTAATTCTGATAAATGGTTAGATGCTATGAAACAAGAGTTGAAATTTATGGAACATAATGAAGTCTGGGATCTCGTTGAATTACTTGAATCGTGTAAAAGAGTTAGGTGCAAATGGGTCTTTGAGACTAAGCGCAACTCTAATGGTAATATCGAATGATTTAAAGCTAGACTTGTTGCTAAAGACTTTACTCAGAAAGACGGCATTGATTATAAGGAGACATTTTCTCCAGTATCCAAAAAAGACCCACTCAGAATTATAATGGCTTTAGTAGCCCATTATGACTTAGAGCTATATCAAATGGATGTGAAAACCGCATTTCTAAATGGAAATTTAGATGAAGAAGTTTATATGGATCATCATGAAGGTTTTTCAGTTGAAGGAAAGAAACACATGGTGTGTAAATTAAAGAAATCAATATACGAACTTAAACAAACTTCCCGTCAGTGGTATCTTAAGTTCAACGATACCATTACTTCCTTTGAATTTAAAGAAAACATTCTTGATCGATGTATATATCTAAAGATCAGTGGGAGCAAGTTTATATTTTTGATTTTGTATGTTGATGACATCTTGCTAGCTACTAATGATCTCAGTCTATTACATAAGACTAAGAAATTTCTCTCTAAAAATTTTGAAATAAAAGATATGGGAGAGGCAACCTATGTGATTGGAATTGAAATATTCCTAGATAGGTCACAATGATTG